TATATATATATATATATATATATATCAATTTATCTCTCTGTGTGTGTTTCATGAGGGCATATTTAGGTTTCTTTGCATTTGTCACCGGTAATTGACATATGGGTGAACTTTTTTAGTTTTTATATTCCAATTGTATGTAATTTTATGACATGAAATTATCTATGATTAGTTCTTTTGCAATTTCGCAGCCAGTTGATCATATCCCAAAGGAAAACATAAGTAATTCATTATCTGCTTCCATTCTAGTGCCTCACCTCCAGAATCTTTTTCAACAAACTTCATTTCAACAGGTACCATAACGGTGATTCTTTACCCTCAAAATTTCATCACGTCCTGCAGCTTTTATTTACCTGTACTCTTCGCATTAATGATATAGTTTTTGTGCTTCGCAATCAGGATCTTCTTACAAATCTATTAAGTAGCCTGCAACAAAATGATCTTGTTTCTAGTGAGTGCAGTTTTGCTTTTGCTTATTTAAACCACAATGAAACGTTTATGCTTTGACACTGGACACCATGCAGCTTTCAGGACTGGTGTCCCATCACAAGCATGCAGATCTGAAAGAGATCGTTTGGTTAGTCTTGCCTTTTTTTTAGTAATTTTCTTATGGAGTAAACTCCCGTTACCTGTCGAAGAAGTAAATATTATAGTATGGGTTTATAACTTGTAGAGGTGAACTATACTTTTTTTTCACAAACTTATCCTTTTCATTCATGAGTTAGTCTAAACTTTTAAGTAATACTTGTTAGTAGTAATTTGAGGTATTATAAAAATAATTATTTCGATGATGCAAAATCAACATTTTCTTTTAAGTGGATGTTGACCTCATTTTTGTGAGGTCTTCTTTTCTCCTCCTTAGAGCCTAGGATCTAGTTCTAGGAGTTCCTATTGATCGTCCTAGAAAACTAGAATTGAGACTCACCCTTTTAGAAAATTCTAGTCAATTCCTATTTTCCTTTGATGTCTAGCATCTTTGGCACAAGACCATCGTCTTACGAAAGAGCGGTTATGGGCTAGTTTGTGAAGACTCAGGGGAAAAGTTCCCAATAGGACTCAAAGTCTTAGGAAAACATTCGTCATGACTTTTTCGTCACATACACACACAAAATGCACATAATTCAATGAATTGCACGAAATCGGACTTCAATTAAGCCTAAAGGACGGGTGAAAATGCGAACTTCTCCGGATGACCTCCGACAACAAATTGGACTGCGCCAACGCGTCCGGGATACCAATTTTGGTAGGAAAGGACACCCATATTGCCATATTTTCGACACGAGAAAATTGGCACGCAAATCGGTGAATTCGTCAAAGCATCCTCCGACGGCGAAATAAACTGTACCGGAGCG